AGGATGTGTCCACACATGCTTCCCATCCACAAGTGAATCCTGCTGAGAGCAGGGGTGGGGATCCTCTTCTGCACATGACTGAGCAGAAGGACATCCAGCACTCTGCTTCCTGAGAAAGCTCCAAGCCCCTCATGGAGCACCCAGGAATTCCCAGCTCTCCTCCTTTGATCACAAGTCTCCTACCCATTTTGAGTAGAACAAAAATTCTGATTTACTCAGCCCTCCCATTTCCAGTTCCCTTGCTCTCAGAGCACATGCAAAGATACTGTGTGAAAAACAGTTCCCTGCATGGAGACAGCATTCCTGAGCTAGGACTAAGCCTCCAAGATAATGCAGAATGTTTTTCTTATCTGTGGGAAACACCATAGAATATTTAATTCAATGCCAACAGCAGAACTCCCAACAACCCCATGATATGAGAAGTGGGTCTGTGCTCGGTGTTTGCAGAACACCAAAGGCAAGAAGCTCTTTCCCCTTCTCAAAGCTTTCCAAGGGAAAGACAGAGGCTCCTGACAGAGAACAGCAGGAAGCCACTGGCCAGCAGCCCCTCCAGGCATTACCTTCAGGTGTTTTTTGTAGTTGTTGTAGACCACAGCCAGGAAGAGAGACATGAAGATGTAAGTGTTGACGATGACGAAGGCGATGAAGAACAGGGCATACCAGGAGCTGAAGTCAAACGCTGGCATCCTAGAGAAGGGCAGAGGGATTGCTGCTTGCCAGACTGACAAAAGTGAGCCCATGAGAAAACAGACTACTACATGGATTTCCAAGTGCTGTTTTGGACTGCCAGATAAAAGCCAAAAACTGCACTAGTTCAGTTAGAGAACACTTTTCTTCGGCTGTGTTTTCATCCTGGCTTGTCAGGCCCCGACTGAAGGGGTGCAGAAGACAGCACAGAGATGAAATCTCCGCCAGTGCAGCCAAATTTAAGAGCAGACATGAGGCAATACCTCAGCCAGATGCTATTTTTTGGCCTCAGAGCCTTGCTGCAGTCACATCTGCTTTTCCACTTGCTCTAGGACGAGCAGCATTTTATTTCTCAGTTTAAATTCCCAAGGTTGCTGTACCATTGCAGTTGTGCTGAAGGTATTTCCAGCACATGGATGACTGAGCCCTTCCTCCCTGTCCTACTCCTGACAGCACCTTCCCAGCCCAAAACACAATGGGAACCAGAAGAGACAGGGATGAAAAGCCCAACACCCACAGAACTTTAACTCTGCTGTACAAATTAGAGGCTGCACAGAGAGCCCTGAGAGCACTATGAGAGGAAGAGATCTGATCATCCACACGTGATATCCATACATGACATCCGGGCTGTTGGCTGTTGTCACCAGCACGTAGAGGTCAAACACAATCTCCAGGTAGTTTCTGAAGTAGGGCAAGCCTTCTGCTGTCTGGAGATTCCTAGGAGCAAGAGGACAGCCTGGAGTTAAGCACTGGGATCACGTCCCACAACAGCAGCAGTGCTTGCATTCCCCAGGAATTGCTTGGAGCCTGCCCAGAGTATCCCAGGAGCAAAGGAAGTACCCACACCTCTCTCCAAAGAGCTTCAAGGCCATGAGGGAGAACATGAGGAGGCTGAACATGAAGAGCAGGAAGACGTAGGTGATCTCGGGCAGCGTGTTGCGGATGCTGCGGAAGGCCCTCCGGATCTGCGGGGACAAGGGAAGCGTTCAGAGGCAACGTGGCACCCCTTCTTCCCCTCACCATCCCACCTGGATCCCACCTAAACTAGGGTGCAAGAATCCCAGGCCTTTCCTCCTTGTTCTGCAGGGAGGATCCTAGATCCCCAGCTACAAATCAGAGTGAACTCAGGAGCCAAGGGACAGCCCAGGGCACTGCTGAGATGTTCTTGCTGCAGGGAACCAGTCAGGGACAGAAATCCATCACTCCAGGCCACAAAACACAGACTCTGAGCCCAAATGTTGAGCTGCTCCCTCCCCCAGGCCTCCACATCGCAGTTTATTCATTTGTAAGTCAGGACCAGACCAGTCTTGGGCAGCAGGACAAAGATCTCTCCATGCTGAGAGGAATCAGAGTCCAAGTCTGGACTACAGGATTGACACTTGTTTACCCAGGAGACTTCCAGAAATCAGTAACCTGGTCCCTGACTCAGGGAGAAACACAGTGGTTTTTTTCTGTGATACTGTTTGAATCCACCCTTTTGCCCACCTCAAATTATTGCTTCAGGCCACTTCTGAAACAAACCTTCCCTCACAGGACCCTAAATTCTGCCATAAAACCTTTCTGCTAAATCTCCTGGATTGTGGAAAGCAGCAGGCTGTCTGCACAAACAGGGCCCTGGACATCCCACCAGACCTTTTCTTTACCTGGCGACTCTCTGCGAAGTTGATGAGGAAGATGGGCCTCACAATCCTTGACCACCGGATGCTCCTCACCTCATACAGCCTCAGCACCCCATAGATGGCCAGGTCTGTCAGGGACAGCTGTAGGAGAAAGGAGGAAAGCTCCCAGAAGTAATGCTGGGATGTGGCTAGACTGTGAAGAGTTTGTTGATACAGGAGAGGTGCACACGTGACAGGTTTGTGAGAGCTGGCTGTTTTAGCCATGGCTCACGTATGCCAGGTCTGGGATCCCAGGAAAGCAACATGAGGGGAAAAAACCCCACCTCCCCCGGGCCCAACTCACCAGGATTGCCACCATGATGCAGATGTTCTTGGTGTCCTTCCAGAACACATTGTGCAGGGTGACCTTGGCAAAGTGTGTCAGCCGGCCGAGGAACACCAGAAGGCACAACACCTCCAGCACTGATGTGGCCTGCAGGGAGAGCAGGGCTCAGCCAGCACAACCAGGAGCAGCAAAATTCCTTTTTGCACAATAAAAAACAGGCAGAGCAATATTTTCAAGCTTCCTTTTGCAGAAGTCCCTGCCACAGGCAGGTTAAAGCCAGCAAGTCTGTGTTTGCTTAGGATTCAAGGAGTACATCTTTCACAATCACACTGGTGCAGGACAAATAAAGGCTGCAGAAAAGTCTGGCCTAAAGTAAAACTTGGCTTCTACTTTCACGCATGAGGACTGGACTTGAGTCCCAAAGAAGGCTGGAATTGGTCTCTGAGATGGAGAACAGCAACATGACTTTGTCCACAGTCTCATGGGCCATTGCTGGTGGCCACAATGGCTCCTACAGTCCATGGCCAGCTCCTGTGCTTTTTGTCCCCATTTCAAACAGATCACAGAATTATAAAGTCACAGAATCATTTGGGTAGAAGTGGACTATACAGATGATCCCATTCCACACCGGCCATGGCATGGACACCTTCCACTACCCCAGGTTGCTCCAAGCCCTGGCCCACCTGGCCTGAAACACTTTCAGGGATGGGGCAGCCACAGCTTCTCTGGGAAACTTGTGCCAGGGTCTCACCACCCTCACAGGGGACAATTTCTTTCCAATATCCCATCTAATCCTGCCCTCTTCCAGTGGGAAGCCATTCCCCCTTGTCCTGGCACTCCAGGCCCTTGGAAACAGTCTTTATCTTTCTTGTTGGCCGTTTCAAGTACTGGAATAGCCAATTAGGTCACTCTGAAGCTTCTCCAGGCTGAACAACCCCAATTCTCTCAGCTTTTCCTCACAGCAGAGCTGTTCCACCCCTCTGATCAACTTGGTGACCTTCTCTGGACTCACTCCAACTTCCCATGTCCTTCCTGTGCTGGGGACCTAGAGCTGGATGCAGGACTCAGGTGGGGTCTCACCAGAGCAGAGACGAAAGCTGTCCACAAAAACATCACCATCCACTGTCCCCTGACACCTGTGACAACCACTCTGAAGCAAGAAGCCCTTGCTGGCTCCAGCAGCTGCATTTGCTGCTCCTACACCACAAACTCACCAGGAAGGGGAGGGGATACACGGCAGGTTCCTCAAACAGGGCAAGGGACAGGTTGAGGAAGAGGACCTAGAACTGGATGCAGGACTCCAGGTGGGGTCTCACCAGAGCGGAGATGAAAGCTGTCCACAAAAACATCACCATCCACTGTCCCCTGACACCTGTGACAACCACTCTGAAGCAAGAAGCCCTTGCTGGCTCCAGCAGCTGCATTTGCTGCTCCTACACCACAAACTCACCAGGAAGGGGAGGGGATACACGGCAGGTTCCTCAAACAGGGCAAGGGACAGGTTGAGGAAGATGAAGAAGTAGGTGGCTGTTCGCATCATCCAGTGGTTATAGAGGTGATAAAGCCTGGGGGAAGAAGGCACAGGCACCATAAATAAAGGCATCAGGGCACATCCCCAGGGCATCACCAAATGTGTCCTGGAAGAACCGCACTTGCTGTCCCAAACAAACATTTTTGCCAGCAAGGAATTTAGCAATTTGCTTCCAAATCAGTCTCAGAGCTGATGGATGCTATATTGCCTTTCAGAGCAGGGTTAAATAACAGAATATTCGTTATAGTAAGCAAAAAATATTTAACTTGGTTCTGCCACTCCAGCACGTTCCACACAGCTGCAGGCTGACCAAGCCTCCCACACTTCTCATTGCCCCAGAGGCTTGGAAGACTTTATGTTAGTTTTATTTTCTCCCCTCCAGCAAACCACAACTTTTTAAAGTAAATTTCCCATCCTCAACATACAGATGTGTCGAGCCCCGTTACAAGCATTTCAGCTGAAGTCCAGTTTTTGGCACCCCATCCATCCACCCCTCTTAGCACCCCCGACTTTTCCTGTTGCTGTTTGGTCACGGGTGCTGCTGGCTCTCACAGGTGTGGCTGGAGCGCATCCCTCCTTACCTGACGGCCTCCGGGGAGGTCTTGAAAGGAATATTCCTGTTGTACTGCGCATCGGAGACAAACGCCGCTGCCAGCAGCAGGTCCTGGGGGAAACACAATACGGGAGAAGAGGGAGAAGAGGGAGAAGAGGGAGAAGAGGGAGAAGAGGGAGAAGAGGGACGAGCCGCTACCTGCGCTGCCGCCTCGGCCATGGCGCGCGGACGCGGCGCCTCCCCGGCCCCGCCGCCTTTAACGGGGCCGGTCCCGCCCCCGCGGCGGCGGAAGCGGGAGGCGGTGCCGGGCCGGGGCTGGGAGCGGGGCCGGGATGGTGCTGGAGGCGCTGCGGCCGCGGGTGGTGCGCTGGGCGCTGCTGGCCGCCTTCGCCGCCGGGGTGGCCGTGGGCTGGCAGGCGGGCCGGGCGCGCCGCCGCTTCCTGCGCTGGCGGCAGCGCTACCTCCAGCGCCGCCTCGCCGCCGCGCAGGAGAAGCTGGAAGCGGCCTGAGCTCCGGGCTGCCCCCGGGCTGGCCCCGGCTGCGGGCTCCCGGCGGCTCCTGCGGCGGATTCGGCTCCTGCGGTGGGCGCTGCCTGAGCCGCTGGAAACGGGTGAAGCGCTGCTGGGGAAGGACAGCGTCCCTGGGATAGCAGGGCTGCTGGCTGGACAGCGTCCGTGGAATAGCGGGAAGGACGGCATCCGTGGAATAGCAGGGCTTCTGGAGAAGAACAGCATCCCTGGAATTGCAGGGTTTCTGGAGAAGGACAGCATCCGTGGAATAGCAGGGCTTCTGGAGAAGAACAGCATCCCTGGAATTGCAGGGTTTCTGGAGGACAGCATCCCTTGAATAGCAGTGCTGCCAGAGAGGACAGCGTCCACAGAAGTATCAGGACTTCTCTTCTGCCCTTCGCAAAGCAAGATCCCAAGCTGTGTCAGACTAACCGAGTAAAGAGCTGAGGATGTGCAAGCAGCGATCCCCAGCCGGGAATGGACTGCTCAGGGAGGTCCCCGTCCCTGGAGGTGTCCAAGGAACAGCTGGACGTGGCACTCGGTGCTCTGGGCTGGGTGACAAGGTGGGGATCGGTCGTGGGTGGCACTCGGTGGTCTCGGAGGTGTTTTCTAAGCTCAGCGATTCCATGATTCTCGGTGGAACAGCAGTGCTGCCAGAGAGGACAGTATCCACAGAATTATCAGGACTTCTCTTCTGCCCTTCGCAAAGCAAGATCCCAAGCTGTGTCAGACTAACCGAGTCAAGAGCTGAGGATGTGCAAGCATCCGGGAATTTACTGCTCAGGGAGGTCGCCGTCCCTGGAGGTTTCCAAGGAACAGCTGGACGTGGCACTCGGTGCTCTGGGCTGGGTGACAAGGTGGGGATCGGTCGTGGGTGGCACTCGGTGGTCTCGGAGGTGTTTTCTAAGCTCAGCGATTCCATGATTCTCGGATTTCCATATTCCAAAAAAGGGCTGTCTGCACTTGTCCAGCTCTAAGCCTGCTGCTCTGCCCTTGCCAGGCGGCGCTGCCAACACAATAAACTAGCAAAAGTCATCGCATGGTGCTCCTAGGTGTTTATTTCTGGAATAAATGTGAAAACGTGCCCTATGGGCACATGCAACAGGTCCCATTATGGGTGTGCATGGGGACAATTAAGTGGTGAAAGCTCTTGCGTTGGCTGGGTGAATGAACAAGTGAAATAAAGGAGTAAGAATTCCTCCTGGCACTTTGGATGATGAATTGTGAAGGTAGCTGTAGCAAATTCCTTCTTCCCATTGCTAGAGAATGCCGGGAGAAGGAGTGCTGGGGGATTCATTGCAGGCTGCTGGTTTTCAGAGGCATTCTGGAACTCTCAAATCCATGGGGGAGAAAAAGCACTGCCCAGAGCCCCTTAAGGCTTGGTCTTGATCTTGGAGCCCTTTCCCAAAGTCAGCGATCAGACTGGGTGGTCTCCAGTGGCAGGGATCACAAAGCGCAGCCCCGTTTGTCCGCAGATCCGCACCTCGGGGGTGCGGGGGAGCTTTCGGGCCCGGAGCGCTGCCGGCCCCGCCCCGGCCCGTCATCGGGCGGCGCCGCGGCTCTCCCGTTGCCCGGTGACCATGGCGGAGCGGCGGGCGCGGGGGCCGCTGCAGCGGGTGCAGCGCCGGAGCCGGGAGCTGCGGGAGCAGGTACCGGGGAGGTGCCGGGGATGTACCGGGGCCGGTCCTGGGGATGTACCGGGGATGTACCGGGGAGGTCCCGGGGTTGTACCGGGGCCGGTGTCTCGCCCCCGGCGCTGACCGCCCGCTCCCCGTTGCAGGTGGAGGCGCTGCGGGCGGAGAGCGCGGCCGCAGCCCCCGGGCAGCGGGAGCCCCTTCGGCTGAGGTGAGGGCGATCCCGGGCCCCATCCCGAGCCCCGACCCTCGATCCCGCCGCTGCCCTCAGCCTCCGCTCTGCTGCCCTCAGCAGTGGTCCTTCCCTCCATGCCTTTTCTCTCCCAATTGTTCAGCTTTCTCCCTGTTTCCTCCATGCCTTTTCTCTCCCAGTTGTTCAGCTTTCTCCCTGCCCTTCCCTCTCCTGTTTTCCAGGCCGGCTCTTTCCCAGCCCTCTGGTCTGGAGAAGGGAAGACTGAGGGGGGCTCTCACCAATCCACATAAATATCTCCAAGGCAGTGCCAAGGGGATGGTGCCAGGCTCTTTCTGGTGTTCCCAGCAGCAGGATGAGGAGCAATGGCCATAAATTAAAACACAAGAGCCACTTCAACATGAGGGTGGCAGAGAATTGGAAGAGCTGCCAGGGAGGGTGTGGAGTCTCCCTCTCCGGGGACATCCCAAACCCAGCTGGATGCATTCCTGTGTCACCTGCTCTGGCTGATCCTGGGTTGGACTGGATGAGCTCCAGACATCCATTCCAGTCCTGGCTGTTCTGGGATTCTGTCAAATGCTGCTGCTTGGGCTTGGAATTCTCAGCCTGAAGGGACACACAGCACCTAAAATGACACCTTTCAGTCAGCAGGTGTGGTTTGGGTCAGAATTTTAAGAAAATACCATCTGCCTGTCTTGCTTTCAATGCAGATGTACACAGCTGAAGGAATTGGTGGAGGAGAACACAAAAGCTCTCCATGCTTTGAAAAAAGTAAGTATGGAGATTAATTTGTGGTTTTCTCCAAAATTCACCATGGAGAGTGTTTAAAGAAAATCAGTGTTCCATTTTAGATGCCTCAGGACAAGAGCAGTGCCCAGCACTGCACAATCTTTGTTTGTCATCTCTCCAATTTATATTTTTTAATATACTTTTATATCATTTAAAACTGATGCTTTATTTTGCCCAAGTCCCAGGTGAAAACTTAACAGAGAATTTCACCTTGGTAGAGTGAAAGGGTGAGAAAATTGTCACTAAAGAGGGAGTGACAGCAGCCCAGGAAGGGGAAAACTTGTAAGGCATGTCTGGAAAAGTTAATTTATAGAGGGACTTTGATTCTTTGAGCAATTTATTGGGGAACTTTGATTTTTTGTTGGGTACTCTGTCAGGCTGATGAGCCTGCGCCGGTGGGGAATTACAGCCAGAGGAAGGAAGAAGAAGAAAAGCTGTTGCTAAGACTCTCCCAGCAGCTGCAGAAACTCCTTCTTGTCTTGGATCAGGATAATGTGACAAAGAATTACCCAGGGTGAGTAGCTTAAACATGCAAATGCAACTGTTTTTTTAAAGGATGGCTGGAATGGGCCTTGAAAAACCATTATCTCGCCCTCTTAATTAGCTGAAAAATAACAGAAGGATAAAAATAGAAGTGCTCAGGAGAGAAGTCATTTATGACTTGCTGGGATTTTCTCAGGGTGCTGGATAATGGCTGGAATATAAGGTTTGGAGGAGTTTCTTCAGGACAGAGAGCAAAACAGAGGCATGAAAATGCTATATCTGAATAATGTCCTTGCAGAGGCATTTCAGAAAGTTTGGTGGGAATGATACTAAAAAATAGTTTGATTTGTTTTGGGTAGGGGTGAGGGACACCAGAAAAGCCCTCATGCAGAAGAGGGAAATGAAGAAGAGGAGGAGAGTGAAGATGAAGAAAGTGAGGAGGAAGACACTGAAGAAGATGAGGAGAAGTTGTTGGATGATCCAAATGTTAGAGAATGTGTTACTGTTGGGAACTTTGATGCCCAGCAGGAAGGGGATCTCACATTTGTGGTAAATATCTCTCAGTAAAGGGTTTTTACTGCAGATCACTCTGAGTTAAGCAGTAACTATAATGAAATCCTGTGCTTTTGGGATTCAGCCAGCAGTGGGATTTGAGGAGAAATTGGAGTTAGGTCCTTTTATCATTTAAATATTTGCTTGGTTTTTTGTCTCTGTCTCTTCCTCCAATGCCAAAGAAAGGTGAAATCCTGCTCATACATGACAAGAAGGAGGATGGCTGGTGGGTAGCTGAAAATTCCAAGGGGGACAGAGGCCTCGTTCCCAGGACTTACCTTGCGGTGGGTGTGCTCCAACCTCTGTCCCAATCTCACCTCTGCTCTTTTGTATAGATTAATGATCTATAATTAATGATCTGGTCACAATGCCATGTGTTTTTTGGAAATAAAGCCAGTTATTTGGAAATAACTCCGTGTTTTTGTCCGTGGGGCTGGAGATATCCATCAAAAGCAGCATTTCTGTGCCTTGTGAAGTTGTGGCAGACAAGTTTCTTGAATATCAAAGTCAGAATCTTTGTCATTCAACTCTGAAGACTCCAAGCTGCTATGGATTGATTTGGGCTTTTAATAATTTAGGGAGTCTATGTAAACAATTTTCTGCATCACAGACAGAAAATCTCCTTTTCTAAACTTATTTAATTTATTCTAAACTTATATTAATATGGGCTGTGGTTGGAGAGGGCATTTTTAAGAACAGAACTGGGAAAAAATCAAGCCTTTTGCCATTTTAAATGTGAATTCCAGGTTCCTAAGGAAGAGGAAGAAAGCCAGGAGGAGTCAGAAGAACACTTAGAAGTGGTGGATGAAACAGCAGATGGAACTGAAATTAAAAAAAGGTAAATGGAATGTCTGAGATATGATTGTGAAGCTGCTGCTGTTTGGAAACAGAGCAATATTTAGTGGCTAAATTCTTGTTCACGTGAGGATTTGCTATAAATCCCTGTATTTTCTTCCAGAACAGATTCCCACTGGAATGCTGTCCGAGCCATTGCAGAGGTAGGTGCCCCTCTTACAGTGCAGCTTCATTATTTCTGCCATAATCTCCATTACTTTGGAGACAAGCTGTGCCTTTTGACACACACTGGGTCTCATATCAAAGACTATTTTTCTTAATTAACATCTGTGTTTTGGGAGTTTTTGGTAGCAAGAAATGCCACAGAAATGCTTCAGAAGAGGTAACTGATATCTCAAGTTTCTGGTTCTAAACAGAGCTGTAAATTAGGATGAAATTTGCTGTTAAATAGCAGGAACAGTAACATCCTTTTCCTTTTTTTTTTTTCACTAGAATGACACTGTGGAGGTGCTGACCACCTCAGGGGCAGTTCCTGCAGGATTCCGCCCGTCCATGCTTTTCCAGCTCTTGGAGGAAGGTAGGGATTTCACCTGGCAGGATTCTCAGGTCTCTGTGGTGGCTTTCTCACCCTGGTCACCAGCCTGTTGGATCCAAATCTATACTGCTTAATTTTAATTAATTGGCTAACTGGCTATATTTGACCCATCAAATAATGTATAAAATACTTTTTTTCCCTTAAATTTTAATTTATCAATGTGAAATCCTGATGAATTTCCTCATGATTTTAAAGAGTTTCCTCTTTGGAAGTTTGTTCCTGTAGACTTTGCAGGAAATTATGATTTTTAAATTTTATTTTAATCTTCTCTTTTTCTCAAAGGTCTTTTCTAGTCTCTTCACCAAATATATTAAGATATCTCATGTTTTGTTAGTATTTCTGTTTAAAGCTGTTCAATCTCTTTTTAAAATTAAGTTATTGTGCTTTTGAGATTAAATACTTCAGAATGCTCACAAATAGTAGACAGTGCTCATGGCAGATAATTCCATAGTTTTGTTTAGTCAAACATTCAACTGGACATGAATTTTGGGTGTTGTCCTTTTTGGCACAATAAAGATCAGTTGAAACAGTGATGAGTTTTTCAATTTATTCTTGTTGTAGGTGAAGAGTTTCGAGCAAGTTACTATTTGCAGCCCAAGCTTACTCCATCCCAGCTGGCTTTCAAAGACTTGGTGTGGAACTCTGAGAGGAATACTGTGAGTGTTGCTGCTAAGGGGGACACAAACTTTATTTGCCTAGTGATGATGTCTTAATTTGCAGCATTTCTGGAACAAATATATACAACATCCCTGGGGCAGAGCTAAAAGCCTGTGTAGAAATCCTTGCACTGGGGTGGTGGCTGGGAGAAAAACCTCGGTCCATAAACACGAAATGAGACCACGTGCAGAGGGCCCTGCAGGTTTAATCCTCCTTCTGCTGTATTTCAGATCCATGCTAGGCCCACCAGAGTGTCCCTGATTGTCACTTTGTGCAGCTGCAAGATGATCCCTCTCCCTGGAAGCGGCGTGCGGGTGCTCAGCCGGCACGTCCGGCTCTGCCTCTTCGATGGCAGCCGGGTAAGGAGCCTGTCTGCTTCCCAAAAAAGGATCCTTCAGGTTCTGCTTCTTCTCTGTGTCACTCAGACACACACACACACACCCCCTGCCTCCCAAGCTGCTGAATTTGTGCTCAGATGAGCCTGGTTTGAGCCCGCTCACCCAGAAGAACAGAACTGAACCATGAAACAGGCCAGGCTGCATTGATGGGCACTGGGCATGGCCAGGCAAGCACACTCAGCCCTGCTTCCCGCCCTTGGTACTCCACAAGGCACTTGGACCCCTCCCTTTTTCTGCCTTTGGTTTCTGCCCCTCTGCTTTCCTCTGGTGGTGAATCGGGTGCAGCCCCAGAGCAGTGTGAGGTGAGCCAGGGAGCTGCTCCTGACTCAGGGTGACAGTCACACCCCGCCCCTGGGGCTCTGGGCTGTGCTGGGTGGCCCTGGGAGGGGCTGGGGCGGGAGCTCCATTTCTCTGAGTCCCTAATTTCGGGTTCCCCACCTGCCATTGTGCCTCGTGGCTCCTTTGTGTTCCTGGCAATGAGTGTTTCCTGGGATGGGCCTGGGAGCAGCTGGCTCAGGGGCAGATTGCTCCGCGTGCCCTTGATCCTCTGTTCCTTTGTGTGTGTGCAGAGCAGCTTTTTGTGATTATCCAGCAGTTTTCTTCCAGTTGTCTTTGTTGTGTGCAGTGTTGGATCCATCTGGGATAACCCTGCATTTTCTGAAAGGGCTTTCCCTTTCAGAAAGAAAAACTTACCTTAGTTTTTTTCCCCACTTTAGGTGTTGAGTAACATTCACACAGTGAGAGCCACGTGGCTGCCTAAAAATCCTCAAACTTGGACCTTTTCTCCAAGGGTAGGTGACACAGCCCCTGGCTGTTCACAGCTTTTTCCATCAATGTCACTAAAGTGTTCCTTGGTGGCACAGCTGTGCTCCATGGAAAGACAATAAGGGGAGCAAAATTTTGACTGGAATTGGTTCTCTCCTCATTTTTATATGCAGTAGGATTGGGTCTGAGATCTTGTGTTGAGTGAGGGATGTGCTTGATGGCCTTTAAAAGTTAAGATTTTTTGTTTTTTATAGGTACATTAATTTTTTTTCCTCCCTCTCTCTGCATCAGGTGATGGGCATCTTACCCAGCTTGCTTGATGGTGACTGTTTTGTCAGGTCCAGCTCCTTATCTCCAGACATTGGGATCTTGTTTGAGCTTGGCATCACATACAAGTGCAATGTGAGTGTGGGGAGGTGCAGTGGCAATTGCTCCAAGGGCAGGTTTGTAAAGGGAACCAGCTGTTCCCAGTTACAGAATATCCCTCATTAGAGAATGGGATTACCTGGAAGGAGCCTACAGGAAAGATGGAGAGAGACTTTTCACAAGGTCATGTAGTGATAGGACAAGGGGGAATGACTTCCCGCAATCAGAGGCAGCAATAGCAGGGATAGGTGGGATATTGGGGAGGAATTCTCTGTGAGGGTGGGAAGGCCGTGGCACAGGTTTCCCAGAGAAGCTGTGGCTGCCCCTGGATCCCTGGAAGTGTCCAAGGCCAGGTTGGATGGGGCTTGGAGCAGCCTGGGATAGTGGAAGATGCCCCATGGCAGGGGGTGGAATGAGATGATCCTTAAAATCCCTTCTAACCCAAACCATTCTGGGATTCTCTGATGGGAGAATATCCTTAATTAGAGAGTAAAAGTCTCTCTGACTCATGGACATGAGTGTCCCTGTACCAGCACTGAAATAACTTGTGCCAAAGATCCCATGCCACAGGATCACAATGGACTAGTTCTCCCTTCACTCCTGCAGTTTTCCATCTCTGTGATTTATTTCAGACTAATGTCCTGTACAGCTGGAAAACTAAAGCTTTAACTGTTTCAGCAGCATGGACAGTGGTTTCCAGCTCCAGTTTACACAGATAGAGCCTGTCCATCTGGGATATGCTGCTGGAAAGCACAACAGGTAGTAAGACAGTAGGTGGTAAAAACAGAAAAACGACCCTCAGAGAAGGCAGATTGTGAATTTTGAACACACAAGGGTGAAAAAGGAAAAGGGGATAACTACAGCAATTTTCATATGGTTACTGTTATTAATTGTGGTTCAGTCACTCATTCTGGGTCAGCTGCTGAAATAATTTACATTTCTCTTTTTTTCTAGTCAACAGGTGAAAGAGGAGAGCTGAGCTGTGGCTGGGCCTTTCTGAAGCTTTTCACTTCCAGTGGGATTCCTGTTCCTTCCAAGTGAGTTTGTTGCCTTTTCCTGCTCTCCCTGTATTTACACACAGATTTATGTACATCTGTTTGAGACTGAGGGTAAAGCTCACGTTTCATACTTACACACTGCTGGGGCAGGGGGCATCCAGACCAGTCCTTTGGGATTCTGGCTCTTCTTTGCTGCATTATCCCTTTCCCAGGTGAAAATTGGGAGACTGGTTCCCAAGACCTGGAGTCAGGCAGGAGTTGTTGTGAATGAATCTCTCACTGCTCTTGGAGTGTGAATTATGATTTATGATTAGTGAGTCCAGTCATCTGAAAGAATAATGAAGTGTGTATATTTTTATTTTATTAAATGTAGGAAAACTTTCTGTTTATTGACAGAAATAATTCACTGTAGCTCAGACTTTCAAGTCGTGGTTTTTGCCAAATATTGGTAGACATTTTTATCGTGTATAGGTATTCTGGATTTATCTGGATTACAGCTAAAAAAAATACCCACAGGACACCTCTACTGTTCTAGAATTTAAGTATCTTCTAAGTTTCATTTTTTAAGTATTGTTCTACTATTTCAATAAGTAAGCATGGTATTACAGATTAAATTCCATGCTTGTTTCAGCAGTGACTTACTCTTGGCAGAACTGGGGTTACATTATTCTGAAACCAATTTTAAATATGGAAAATTTTAATTGTTGAAGTGATGATTCCTCAAAACCATTGTATTGAAACAATTGCTAAATTCCATACAAGAAAAACATTTGAGCTGTGGAAAAGAAAGAATGTTGTTAATGGCTTTTAAAATTATTGACCTCCCAGTACAATTAAATTCCAAAAATAGTTGAATTCCCAGTATCATATGGGCTTCAAATTTATCTTTATTGGCAGGATGCATGAGCTGGTCCTGAGTGGTGGAACTCCCTATGAGAGAGGCGTTGAGGTTGACCCATCAATATCAAGGAGAGGTGTGGTTTCTTTTCAATCTAATATAAACATAATAATGTGATTAATGCTGCATCTCCTTCACAACAGTCCCCACAGCCTGGTTTGGGTTTGTGTGTTGTATTTTTGCGCGTATTTCATTATTTATCTGCTTTTGCCTTGGCTGTGGGGAGCTGGGTGCTACCAGGCTAACTAAACTCGGAAGAGTTCCCAACTCACTGAAGTGCCCATTTTTGTAATATAATTATTACTGTTGTTTCAACCTGACTGTTTGAATCTGGGCTGTCTATTCCTGCAGCAGGCTCAGGGGTTTTTCAGCAGTTTATGAGCCTGAGGAAGCAGCCTGTGCTTCTGGTGAAAGTGAAGTCCCCGAGTGTGCACTCAAAAGACATCCTGAAGTGAGTCCTTGTGCCTTTCACAAAATGAAAAAGTATTCCAGATAGCCTAGAGAAATCTGCAGTGTTTGCAGTAAACACCTCAACTGCTTATGTCCCTTATTTTCCCAACAGTTTTCTCCCTGAAACATTAGTTGGGGGCATGTGCTACATCCACCTCCTGGTGTTTTATCGGCAGATCCTTGGAGATGCCCTCCTGAAGGACAGGGTGAGCATGCAAAGCACAGGTGAGCACTGCAGGAAGATCAGGTTCATCCAGGGAATGACTCTTGCCAGGTCTCCCTTTGGTAAGAGATGTTTTTGGCACTCAAGCTAAGTTATCCTCTTTATTTTTAGTTTTTAATTATTATTATTTACTTAATTATTATTTACTGGCAGTAGGGAGAGACAGAAGTTGGAGAATTCTGGATTTAGAACTCAGTGTCTTGCCCTGATTAGTCAACAGAACTAATGATAGTTCATAGCCTTCTCCATTTTAAAACCAGCTTGAAATAAGGAAAATTTACACTTCTTAACTGTACTATGTATGAATTTCTATAGGTAAGAACTGCCACACTTACCTGATTTGATCTGCATAATCTAGGACAGTAGATCAGGCTGACAACCTCTCCTGGAGTTAAATTGCATCCCTTTGGATTCAGACTTCAAGGCAAGGCTTTATCCCAGGAGTTGTTCTGGTAGCTGTGCAACTAAAGAAGATTTCTATTATTTCAAAATCCACCATCACTTTAGGAATAGACAACTGAAAATGTCTGTTCTCCTTCAAGAAGTCATCAGTCCTGGCTCTCTTCCCCGAAATGTTTGGGCATTAGTAAATGCTTCATGTTTACCAAACTTACCATCAGCTTCAAGGTGAAGGGACAAGTGTACATTCAATGTTTGAAATCACATTATAAAGAAAACACTTCAGCCAAAATCCTGCTCTCTGTCACTTGGAATCTTATCCACAGTCTCATTAGTTAAAATAATCACAGGAGCAGAGTGACTTCTCATGGAAGTGACCCAAAAAGCACTGGGACACCTGTGCAGTGGGATATGTGCTCCACTGGGAAAATTCACTGTGCACTTGGTCCCTGGTTCTCCTAAAATGCCACACCAGGCTGAGGTGGAACCCAAGTATGTTTATCCATAACATCCAAACTAAGCAGCACAATTGCAGCTGTGTATAAAACAGGCAGGTGCAGAAATGAGGGAAAACACCTCTGGCAGGTAAATCAGGAAGGGCTTGTGTTTGCTGGAGTTCCCAATAAACAGCACTGGGGTTTTGTGTCTCCTCTCGTGGTTTCACTGTCTCTCAGCCACTGAGAACTGGCTGCAGTCAGAACAGGTTTCAGGGAGTTCTCCTACCTTCCCTGCTCTGGAGAACTGTCACAGCTCACTTTCCCTTTGGACTAATCTGACAGGACGGGATGTGCTGAATACCTGGATGTGCCAATACTTTGATTCTTCCTTAGCCTTGAATGTGTTTGTTTTCTGTTTCAGACTTAATCTGTAATCCTGTTCTAGCAACTTTCCCTCAACTCCTGGATCAGCCAGACCTGATGGATGCACTTCGGGTATGTTACCTTGCCAGGATTTCCAGGCAAAAATGGAACTTTTTTTTTTTTTTTTTCTCTGAAGAAGACAAAGTTCTCCAGCCTTGCTCTGATTTTACATTTCATTTTAGAGTGCCTGGGCAGACAAAGAAAGAACGCTGAAGAGAATTGAGAAGGTAACAAACTACAGGTTTTTCTTTCCATATATTCAGGGTAATTAATTCCACCTAGCTGCTCCCTGCCAGTGCAATTGCTGCATAGCTTTCCCTCTCACCATACATCTGGTTAGAAAATAGAGATATGTAAATGCAGTTCTTAACATTTCTCACCCAGATTTATAACAGTGAACCAGGAACAGGAGGAAAATGAAATTAACTTGTAACTTTTTTATTTCAGTGTTGTTAGGGGGGATCCTGTTATAGGTTGGTACCCAGAGTGGTTCTCTGACATGATGTGCCTCCAAAAGTCAGCTGATAAAAGCTTTCCATGGAGAGAAAAAGGGGCTGTGTATGCCCACAAAATAATCTTCCCTCCTCCAAACTCTGAGATTTAGTCCTCCCACAATCTGCCTGGGACAAGGGCCCCTAAATTTCTGAGATCTCCCTACCCCAGAAAGTTGTAATCCATGTTTTGGCACAAAGACAGCTGGAGAATTCACCTGGTTGTCCCTGGGCTCACCCAGACCTTGTCCTCCATCCTGTCCCCTGGACAGAGAGCAGCTGCAGGAACTGAATGAGAAAGCCATTGGCTCCCAAAGCTGGATTTGCTGGAAGCAGCAGTGGGATGTCTCATTCCCTGAGCCTGCTCCTGAATTGATGCACAAGCACGGCTCCCCGTTTACGCAGAGCAAACACGCGCTGAGTCAGAGCAGCTTTTTCAAGGCCATTCATCCAAAAGGAGAGCAGATCTGCTCACGGAACTGGCACCTCCCCAGGATCCCAGAACCATCCAGTTCTACCTGACTGGCATGTGCCACTCCCACGGGAGGATTGCTGCCTGCTGAATGCTCACCCCTCACGTGGTTCCGTGAGGCTGAGCTGTGAAACGCTCCCCGCCAGGCACGGCGCTCCTGCCGCTGGGACTCTCTGGACTTGGATCTTTCCCATGTGTTTGATAATTGACCAGGCTGATCCTTTGTCTCTGGGTTTTCCAGACTGATACTCACAGGTCACACTATGCATCAAGAGTGGGACAGCAGTGCCCAGGGGCAGCGTCACCTCTGGTTCCAGGGAGTGGGATCGGAGCCACGCTCCGCCTAGGACAGCAGGGAAATGAGAGGAGTTTGGGTTTCCAGGGCAGGGAGGATCTGGCACTGCTTTTAAGAAATATAAATACCCCACAGCAAAGGGCTCTCAGTGCCTGTAGTTTGTGGGAAGGCTGGCAGAGTTCAGGTCTGTGGATATGCTGGAGGCTTATCCAAGATAACGGATGTGTGTTGAGGAAGGTCAAATCTCTTCCCATTGTTTTTCTGGGAACTGGGAGTGAGTTTTTTGGGGTTTTTTTCCCGTGTACCATACTTTGGAAAAGTGCTTGGCAACACCACGTGTTTGCACTGAGGTATTTTCAAACACTCTTTACTGCAGAGAGATCAAGAATTCCTGAAGTCTGCGTTTGTCCTGGTGTACCACGACTCTGTGCTCCCTCTGCTCTGCTCCACCTTCCTCCCCAGCTACAGATGGGCTGAGGAAGAGGTGGAATTGTCTCGCTGGAAGGTGATCCATGACTTCCTGAAAAGGAGCCAGGAGAAGGATGGTGCCCTGGAGTACCTGCTGTCATCAGAAAACACCCACAGAGCCTTTGACATCTCAGAGCTGGCCTATGATTTCTTAGGAGAGGTGAGGGAAAACAACCCTGGAGAATGAACAATTCAGGCTCTCTAAGGTTGTGGTAACAATAAAATTAAATTCTTACCAAAGAGATTGTATAGGAGCTGAATTGTAATGGATATTTTAGCACAATTAAGATTTTGAGAGAGATTAAAATTATTTTATTTATCTACTGGAAATTGTATTTTAAATTTTTTTTGCAGCATTAAATGAGGTTCTGGTTGCCTGTTACTACCTGCTGTAGCCATGTCAGGTGTCATATTTTGCCAAAGTTGAGGTAGCCCTTTTCTCCTCTCCTGCAGCTTCCAATTAATTTCCAGTGTTGTTTTTATCAGGGTGAACAAAAGACTCTTTGTCCCAGTCCCCCAGCAGCCTGGGAGCAGGGAAGGGAAAGAGCACTGATCTTTAAGAATGCTGCTGAGCAAGGACAGCCAGCTTAGGGGAAGAATCCTCTCTTGTCCAACCAGTGACCAGCAGGTTGCTCTGTTTTTAGACTGTTTGCTGTTCCTCTCCCCCACTCAGGAGAAGGCTGGGTTACTCCCAGGAATGTGCCTGACCCAACACAAACAGCAGCCGGTGGGAATCCTGGGAATGCTGTGTTTCCCCAGGATTATTTCCTCTGCTGACCCCTGAGTGCCTTATGACCACAGGCTCTGTGTGCTGCCCATTCCCAGGGGGAAGTGATTAATCCACTTTCTCTTTAGTGCTGGAGCATCTGGATGCTTCCTGCAGGGTGATGGGGACATTGCCACCGAGTCACACCTGGATTTAAGCCCAGGCCTGGCTCAGATTTGTCTGGCGAGATTTAAAACTAGATTTTTTAAAACCTCCACTGCATGGAGCCAAAAACCAGCTCCCACTGGAGTATTTGTAAACTGGAGCCTCCAGAAACACCACAGAACACTTCCCCCAGCCTAGGAAGCGCTCAGAGACATGGATTTGATCTTTGCTCTGTGTTGTGCAAGAGCTTGGCATAGAAGCCGAGTTCCTGGGGCATCACCTGTCTGGCCTAGCAGAGCTGGATAACTCACTGGGACAGTGTCTTCCTCCTGCTGTAGCCCATTGCCCGGGTTAATGGGGTCATTCTGTCCTCTCTGGGCCACCGGGCAGAAGTGTCACCCCCAGCCTTTCAGCCCACCCCTTATCTGGGAGTTCTGGGGCCAGGCAGAGTGCCCTGGATGAGACAGCAAGTGCTGCCCGAATCCAAACTGCATTTGCCAGGAGGCAGAAATTCCTGTAACTCTGGGCACCTGGGAGCACATTGCCAATGTCTGTAAAATTTACCTGCTAGTTCCACAGAATCACAAGGTTGGAAGAGACCTTCAAGATCATTGAGTGCAACCTGTTCCCTGACACCTCAGCTAAACCACGGCACCCAGTGCCACATCCAGTCTTTTTTTAACCACATCCAGGGATGGTGACTCCACCACCTCCCCGGGCAGACCATTCCAGTACTTTATCACTCTTTCTGAAGGCTGGATGTGCCTGGAGGGTGTGGATGGGTCGGCGGAGCAGAAACCTGAACAGAAAGGGGAGGAGGCAACAACAGTGGAAGCAAAAATATTTGGGGATTGGAAGCGTGCCAAGAGAACTGTTCGCAGGAAACCTTTCTGTTCGGGCAAGGTGTAGGAAGTTTTTTCCTTCCCCCTGCAGTCGATGACCTTGCAGTGGCGCTCGGTGGGGCCGGGGTCGCGCTCTGTCCCATAGCGGCGGGCAGGGGGATGCACAAAGCCCCGCAGCCGCTCTCGGGCGGTGCCAGGGCCGGCCGGGCCGGGGCAGCGGCGCGGTGCCAGCCCGGGCCGGTCCCTGCGCTGACGTCCCGCGGGCGTGTCCCTTAAATCCCGCACGGGAGCGGCGCGGGGCAGGCGAGCGGAGCGGTGCCGGAGCAGGAGAGATGGCCTCGGTGGGTCCCCCCGCAGCCTCCACGCAGCCCGCCCTGCCCTCCGGACCCGCCGTCTTCAAAACCATCCCCTACGCCTTCATCCTGCCCGAGATCGTGAGTATGCCGCGCTCCTCTGCCTCGCGGAACCCGCTCCTAAAATCCCCTGAAACCATCCTGAAGGCATCGTGGCTGGGAAGTGACATCTTGTCTTTGAGCTGAATGCACGAAGTATTCCCGATGGGGTTTTTAGGAGCAGCTTGAGGACAAGGTACACTCGGCTCCATCACAGCCTGTGTGAGGGTCTCGGGCTGCCCTGGGGCTGGGAGAGGCTGAAGAGCTGCTGGCTCATCCAGGGCAGACCAGCAGCTCCTGTTATCATGAAGCAGCTCTCGTTACCTTGCAGAAATGGCTTGAAAATCAAGGGAATTTTCCTCTCTGTATCAAGTCGTTCCAGGGGTTGAAGGCAATTGGGCGCCTGGTAATGTGTGATGACATTCCATGAGTCTTTCAATTGCTTCTGGGTCCAGAGGGCATCCAATGGGACTGGCCAAGATTGTCCCTGATGTACTTTGTCATGGTGCACGGGGCTGGCAACCCACACACCCTGTGCCCGTGGCAGCAGGCTCAGCTCCCTGCTGCAATTCCAGGGATTTTCACCCACTGCAGCTGGGATGGCACAGGGTGGCGTGGGCTCATCCTGATAACCCCGTGGGCTTTTTGTGCTCAGTAAATATTTTGGGTGGATCCAGAGCGAGCAACTCGCTCCAGGCTGGTGTGTGGAGCTGAGAGGAGAATTCCTTGTGCTGTGATTCCAAGCCCCGGAGATTAACGAGCGGGCAGGGCTGGGTTGAGGCAACCGCTCACTTTTCCCAGATAAAAGCACATTTTCTGGCTTCTCCACCAAATCCCTCGGGGTGAGACATTTCCTTGTATGCAAGGCGGCAGCAAACCCTTCCCTTTCGTGTGAACACTCATTTCCCATGAGTTTTCAGGGAAACCGGTGCCAACTTGCTTGCTTGTTTCCCAGAGCACCAGGATGCTCTGGGAAAGATGCAGGGGTTCCGCTGGCTGCTGCAAGCTGGCCCAGGAGGGAACTGGGGAGGAAAAGAGCTTTTCCTCATCCCACACTCATCAGCGGCGCCTGTTTGTCCCCGGCAGGTCTGCGGGACCTGGGTGTGGATCCTCGTCGCTGCTACCTCCGTCTCCTTGCCGCTGCTGCAGGGATGGGTGATGTACGTGTCCCTCACCTCCTGCCTCATCTCCCTGCTGCTCCTCTTAAGCTACCTCCTCGGCTTCCACAGGAACAGCGAGAACTGGAAAGTGCTGGTAAGGAGAGGATGGAAGGCGGGCAGATGTTGGCAGCAGCAATGTGGGCGCAGGACCACCACGGGTGGTGACCCACCAACACTTTCTTCCTTTTACCTCGACTGGCAAGCCCAGGGGAGCTCTGCTGTGAAACCACTGCCTGGGAGGGTTCAGTCCCAGGCCTATCCAGGCACCTGTCCCCCCCCTCTGGGGCACTCACAGGTGCCTTGTTTTGCAGGACAGTTTGTACCACGGCACCACGGCCATTCTGTACATGAGCGCCGCTGTGCTGCAGGCCAACGCCACCATCAACTCTGAGTCCGGCCCCAACGCGCCGCTCAACTACCAGCTCAACAGCGCTGCCTCGGTGAGTGCCGAGCACCCTGCCGGGCTGCAGGACACGCAGGCACCCTGCAAGGGCAGCAGCACGTGCTAAAGCCACAGCAGAGCCACCCCAAGCCGCACAATGCCAGCTGGGCAGAGTTCCTCAGCTCTGTGGGTCGTGCAGCTGGCGTTGGCTTCGCAGGGTCCACCAGCTCACAGACAGCCTGACGTGGCCGGGTGCTGGGAAAAGCTGAGGATTTGCCTCTCCTTTGAGGGTGGAGGGAGCTGTATGCCGGAGGCTTCCCCATGCTGGGAGCACTGGGAGGAGATGGGGTTTGACTCCACCAGCTGACCCTTCCTCTTCTTCCTCTCGTGCAGTTCTTCGCCTTCCTCACGACCTTCCTGTACATCCTCCACGCCTTCAGCATCTACTACCAGTGATCCTGGCAGCACCAGATTCACCTTTACAGGACAAGGGCTTTCCAGTGTGGGAGACCCTGCTGTCCTCCCAAGGTGTCTCTGCCCCAGCCCTGTCACCGGGCCACAGGAACAGCAAGTCCTTTTGCACTTCATCACAGGAGGGACTTTGCTGGCACACGTTGGTGTGCCTGTGGACATTTCCTGCCTTGTCTGGGGGAGGGACTTGCAAGGGGAGGGACTGGGTGCAGGCCCCAAGCCTCCAATACCAACATTCTGCCAAATATTGACAACCATAGGAAGAAAAGAAAAAAAATCAAGAAAAAAAATCACTGTTCCTTCAGCAAACAACTCCTTTCTTATATAATTTGCCTTTCTCCGGTTCAGCTCCATTCCTCCCCAACACAAGTTCGTAACAATACAAGATTGTGTTCCTTGACTTTCAGATGGTTTCATTTGGTAAATGCTGTAGTTGGAATAAAGTGTCAATGGACAGATTTTGACTACTCTGTAAGCTGTGTTCACTGAAAAAGCTCATTTTACTTCCCAAGAGTTAGAAAAGAAACAGAAAATGTTCACTTACGGAGCTACAGATTTTAAACAAGCAAATCATAGAGCCCATAGGAAATTTCTAGATGTAGTACAAAACTACAGTGTGAAAAGAATGATTACACGGGAGGAGAACAGACATTTACAGCAGTTCTCCTGCCGTGTCTCCTGATTCCCATTACAAGACCTGCAGCTGCAGAGTCCGGGCACTGACACCGCTCTCACGGAGCACCGCTGTCACTGCTGTCCCTCTTCCCCATCCTGGGAAGGACTGGAAGGAGCTCCCTCCTCTCCCTGCTCCAGGCAATCCTGCAGCTCTGGGACACTGTTGGCTCGCAGCACATCCAGGTAGAGCAGGTAGTCCTGGAGGCAGGCTGGCAGCGGCAGCTCCCGGATCACGCGCTCCGAGCGCAGGCGCTCGCTGCCCAGCAGGGACCGGATCTCCAGGCGGCACAGGTGGGACAGGGAAGGAAGGAAGGCTGGAAAATGGAATCCCAAGTCAAACACAGAGCAGCTCTTACCACACCAATATTTCCTTTTTTATTAGTAAATATAAAGAGAGAATTTAATCTCCATTTCCCCAAATAACTCCAGTTTTTTTAAACTCCAAAAACATCCTCATTAACTTCAAACATTCTAAAGGAAGTATTACTAAATTACATTATCACTTGGACAACTTAAAAATTATTACAGACCCTTTTAAAGAAGAATTTTCTTTGAAAGGAATCATTAACAAAGACACCTAAGTGTAGTTTCTCAGTCACATAACACATGACCTGCTTTTCTCAAAGCTGAACTATGAAAAATTCCTGCACAACCAATTGAATCTTTTTGGCTGGTCACATTTTGATTGTGTTTGATTTTTATGGTTTGCATTTAATTACTGTCCAATGTTTACAAAACAGGACAGATGCTTCATTGAAAATACAAATCAAATTAGAAAAGCAAAGCATAACTAAGTAATATTGTCATCTTCTCCTAAATCTCCCCATCGGCAGCCTGAAAGCTGGATACATGGAGATATTATTTTCCTGCCTGTATTCCTTACCAAAATGGCTCTTGGAAGTCCAAGTGAACTTCTCCTTGTATTGGGAAAGGTGTTGCTCCACAGTTGGAGGAAGTCTGCTCCAATTCATGAACTCCAGGACAAAATTAAGGACATCCTCACTCATGGAGAAAATCCTGTGTAACAAAGACTTCTCTAAAGTACCTTTTAAAAGTATTTGTAGATTACAGAATAAAAGACCAAAAAGCATCACATGTGATACACAAGATTCATTCAGTCACTGAGTTGCAAACTTGTAGTGTGCTTACTACAGCCTGCAGAAAGTACAAACATTTCATAACTCTAAGTTTAATCCTGCAGCGCCCAATTACATATAAAACATCACCAAGCTGTTGTTCCTATATGGAAAAACTTCAATAATAATAATAATAATAATAAAAAACCTCACTGGAATTTTTGCCACATTGTGTTAAACAAAACAGTCTCAAACTGCATCCGTTTCCTCTCCTCCCAGCCTTGGCCCAGCTTCACTTCCCATTTGTTTCCCATCCCTCCTGACCTATTTCTCCCATTGGAATTTCTTCTTACCAGGGCTGTATTAAAGTATTGCACGCACAATTTGCAGCTAAATTTGGGGGTTAAGTAGAGATGTTTGATATAAATTTGGGAAGTGATGCTTTATTGCTACCCCAGAGAAAGGCAATTTCCAGTCTGGCTTTCTTCCTAAAGAAAATTGTTTTACTACTTCCAGACATGACGTGTGAATGATTTATTTCAGACTTTCCACAACCCCTCCCGTTCCTGATGGTGGCAACAGATTATCAAGGGCCATCCTGTAGCAGCTTTGCACACCAGCACGAGATGTTTAAGTAAATAAAGACAAGGCTCCCTGCTTTACCAGAACTTGTGCATGAAATTCACGGGGTTGAAGCCAGCCAGGAGCAGGCAGGGCAGCCATTCCTTGTATTCCTTCTGCACCGTGCTGCTGGAGAGGATGAAGTCTGTTAATTCCTCCTCTGAGGGCAGGGAGCAGCCAGACCTCAGGAAGCGCCGGAACAGAGCAAACTTCTTATGGCACAGGCAGTGTGCCAAGTTGATCCCACGCAGGGTGATGCCATATTTCAGAAGGACATCAGTGAACTGATAATACCTGTGAGCAGGAGAAGGAACAGGGAATCCCATGAGCTTTGCCTCAGAAAGCACCGACCACTTTTTACATCTGTCTGCAATAAAACATTTCAGAATATTTCTATTAAAATCCTTTTATCATTACCCACTGCAACAAGGTAATAGGGTAAGGACTGAGAGGGCACATTACTCCACAGAAGTGGTGACATGTGTTACCTGCCTCGTTCACAGAGCAGTCACCCGCTCTGCGTCCCTTCCTAAATTATTTTTTATAAAGCAACACCAGGACAAAAAGGGAAAAATGGTGTCCAAGGATTTTTAAAGGCAGCTTTCTAGGAGCAGGCTACAAACTAAATTCACTACTAACAAACCTCGTTAATTTAAATGGCAGCCATAAATAAATTATAAATACGCCATAAATAAATTTCAATCCATGTACAAAGAAATAATTTGTTAAAGTCTGAGAGGATTCAAAAGCTGTTTTTGAAGATGTTCTCCTTAGTGCAGCACATGCGTTACATTCCAGGACTTCACATTAATATTCCCAAGGAAATGGGAATAATGAGGAGTGTCTGCAAAGGGGGAACACACTGGAATTCTGGAAAAATATTAGATAATAGACAGCAGTTGAGGGAAGAAGGTGGGAAGAAACATTGGAAGACTAAGAGAAGAAGGTGGGAAACACTAAGAGTAGTTAATTAAAGCAAACATTGTTATGAATAATTCCAAAATAGAAGAGGTTTGCTTACTGCTTTTGGAAAATCATGCACATGGGGGACCTGCAGCTGAAGTCCAGGCACTCCTGAGCATCTGGGCTGAAGCCCTGCTTGAGCAGCATCTCCAGGCACTCCCCGTCCCCGCCGTAGAGCGCCGAGTACACGGGGCTCACTTTGCCCTCACCCTTGTCACAGATCCGGTCAGTGACGGGAATCAGCAGCTCCAGTATCCTGCAGGTGTTTAAAACCTCTGTTTTCTGATCTTATTGCAGTGATTAATCTTAAACTACAGCCATTTTTTCCACAGGGTCATTGCAGCTTTGGAAGAAAATCGTGTGTTTTCACTTTTGAATTTGCAGCTTTATAATTCGATACATAGACCCCTGGCAAATGTTGTGCTTTGGGATGGATTTGGGCTGGAAATAAGTATTTTAAACCAAACCAGGATCAGCTACTTCCTATTACCCAGCAACTCTTTTTACAGCAACTTAACACCACTGCACATTAAATCCCAACTCCAAGGAAGTTTGGAAGCAAACTGTAAATGTGAGTTGCAAATGAAACTAATTCTTAGTTGTGTGAAACAGAAAAATCATTCTGTTTACAGCTCACACCCCAGGCCACATCACATTAGTGACAAACACCAGTTCCTTTGCTGCTGGAACTTACTGGTGCTGCATAAGAGTTGCCAGTGATGTATCACCATTTATATATTTAAGTGCTGTTCATGTGTGAATCATGGAGTTCCTGAGAGATCCTTCTCCCCAGTGGTCTACTCCCAAAACTTCCTTCCACTCTTGGCTCGCTGCTGTGGAGCTGACTTGTATATCTGAAATTGGGCAAAGCTACAAATGCATCTCTGGAAATATTAAAGAAACTGTTTTTGTGGCTTTGATTTTTCTGGCTGGTCCAGCTAATTCAATATTTACATATAATTACTTCTGCTACTTAATATAGAACTCTAATTAGCAGCTGCTCAAGTCATATATAATGTACAACACAGTTATTTGCATTTTTAAATGGAAAACTAAAATGGCCATGGAGTGAATTGGTATCTGGTTCGGCACCATGGAAAACCCTCTAAATTCATTAGGTTATGGATCAAACCCAGGTTAGACACTGAATTAAAAATCACATATTCATAGAATTGGTGGGGTTGGAAGGGACCTTCAAGGTGATCCAGTTGTAGCCCCAATGGGCAGGGTCACTTCCACTACCCCAGGTTGCTCCAAGCCCCTTGCAACCTGGCCTGGAACACTTCCAGGGATGGCACAGCCACAGCTTCTCTTGGCAACCTGTGCCAGGGCCTCCCCACCCTCACAGGGAAGCATTTTTCCCTAATATTTCATCTAAATCTACTCTCTGTCAGTGTGGAAGAAACTACTAAGAGACATTTAAAACACAAAAATAATCAGAACTTCTAAACTACAGACCAGTTTGAACACTCAATTTTCCTCCCTTTTAGGGTTGAACTTCCTCCTTTGGGGATCAGATTTGTGTGACCAGGACCTTCTGTCTGAATGCCTCTGCAACCACCTACTTTGCATGGCCCATCTCAGCTGCTGCATGGATGGGTAACTGCCAGTTATCCTCGTTGCAGTAGAGGTTTGGGTCTGCCCCTGCAGTCAGCAGCAGCTTCACACAATCCAGGTGTCCCTCCTGCGCAGCAATCAGCAGGGGAGTGGCCCTGTCCTTGGCCTGGCAGTTGACGTCTGCACCTGACACAAAACAAAACCAAAGTCGCCTCCATCAGTCATTATCTTTCACAGGGTGGCTTCAAATCCAGCATTTTCTCCCCAGCAATAAGGAAATAAAACCCCTAACATTTGAAATGACAATGTGCAGGAGCAGAGCTCCAATTGCATTTAGTGGGAGTGTGGCCAGGGAAATGGAGGATGGTGGTTACCGTGGGACAGCAGCAGCCTCAGACTCTCCAGCTGGCCATACTGAGCAGCCACAAACAGAGGGGTGATCCCAAAGTCATCACGACAGTCCTTGCTGGCCCCTTTCTCCAGGAGCATCTGCATTATGTCAGTGGAACCCTGAAATCAATGGTTTTATTCTCACCCAGCAGGAAAGCGAGGAAATCACATAACCTGTTTTTCCCCACATGCTCCAGATAGAAACAATAAAGCCCACAATACATCCAATATTCTGAAGATGCACTTAGAAATTAATGGTAAAAGAAATTAGGCAAGTTCAAATTGATCACTCTTGCTCATTTACATGATAAAGTCATTTGTATGTGTTAGAACCATTAAGCCAACATATTTTTAAGTACAAGCTACGGTGGTTTAGGAAAAATTACCTGACAAAAATGCAGTAATTATTAAATAAATAATTATCCCCCAGAATACATGACTTACACCAAAAATACATGATGTGCTCGCAGGTTACCTGAAAGGAAGCTTGGTGCAAAGAATTCCATCCAGACCAAGAATGAGAACCTTCAATATTTGCTCCGTGTTGGAGCAGGAACTTGACAACCTCTGCATGTTTATTTTCAACAGCTTCCATACAAAAGTAATAAAAAGAAAAAAAGTCTTATTGAAGAATTTGAAAAAGAAATAATTTAAGTACTGGGGTTTAAAAGCTCAAAAGGTCTCACTGCCAACTTCCTGAAACAATAATCATAATTCCTTTAAACTTGCCCATTATATACTGACTTGCCTTTTATATTTAGATCCCCAAAAGAGTGCTGGGGAATGGAAATTATGCCAAAATTCCCCCAAACTTGGAAAAGACTTGGAATCAAAGGTAACATGGCATTTAATCAGATGATTTAGATTCTGGATTCACTGTAACAGAAGTTTTAAGCATTCAATTAAGTAAAACATAAGTAATAGAAAAATGCTAAAATAATGGACCTTAATTGCCAAACTAGGAATACCAAAAATAAGTCTTTTTACACAAGAATTAGGGAGGAATTATAAAAATCAAAAAGGCCTTTAAACAGCCTCATACAGATGTAATCCTGAACCTCCTAATCTTTTTCTGTGCTTGATGCAGAAAACCAGTTTGCTTTCATAATTTTGTTTTGAAACACTGTCTGAAGCAGATTTACCCATAAACAAAAGGTTATTTCCACACCTCTGAGTCTAAAGCCTGGTATTTAGAGCTACAAAAAGATGCAACATGGCAGGCAAGTAGGAAATTCTGGTGAGCTTAAACTCGAAAAAACTTGAGTTTTAACTGGTGAGTTCAAAGTCTGGGACTTGAGGAAAGCTCGTGTCACCTAGGAAGAGTGGGGTGGTGGCAGATTCGGTGGTGACGTTGTCGGGATCAGCCCCAGCTTCCAGGAGAAGCCGGAGACATTCCAGAGAGCCGTGACGGGCCGAGAGGTGCAGAGCACACATCCCTTCAAACGTCCTCGAGTGGATGTAGTCATCGCCTGGAGCTGCAGAGGAGCATAACGAGGGGGGAAAAGGGATATTTGGCAGTGAATTACAAAATACAATCATTTTAAGAAAATAATGGAGTTATTTGAGATATGTGGCCTATGGAACACCCATGAATATGCTGTTATCACCTCAAGGATAACCCATGAATTGCAACGTGTTGACTTCTCTTTACCGCAGTTGGGAAACCACACAGAAAATCCCCAAACAAGAATAGGATAAATCTACATAACTTGTATTTTCTATGACAGGGAAATTTAGCACAAAACCACACTATTTCCCATTCGGTTTTCCTCACCTGTATCAATGAGCAGCTTCAGGCACTCACTGGAATTGTGCGCTGCCGCTTCGTGGATGGGCAGCCACCTCCTGTTATCCGGGACATCGACGCTGTATCCCCGACTGATCAATTCCCTCAGTATCTCAACGTTTCCTTCTCTGGCCGCAAGGCCCACGGCCGAGCACCGGTCGGAATAGGCTTCCGTGAAATCCATCCCTGGCATGGAATGCTGCATGAGGAAAGGAGTAGAGCAAGAAAAAAAAAAAAAAAAAAAAAAAAGAGAGAGAGAGAGATGTCTGTTGGTACAATATAGATATGGGGGGTGGGGTTGTTTTATAGATATGAGGATTTGGTTTGGTTTGTAGGGAGATGGTGGCTTGGGGGGCTTAGGGAGAGGGGTGGGTTGGGGAAGGTGGTTTGTGGGTTTTGGGGGAGATGGTTGAGGTTTGAGGTGAGGTGGTTGTTTGGAAGGTGTTTTGGGAGGTGTTTGGAGATTTAAGGGGAGGTTGAGCTGGAGGAGAGATAGTTGTTTATGGGGTTAAGGTGTGTTGGTACAATATAGATATGGGGTGGGGTTGTTTTATAGATATGAGGATTTGGTTTGGTTTGTAGGGAGATGGTGGCTTGGGGGGCTTAGGGAGAGGGGTGGGTTGGGGAAGGTGGTTTGTGGGTTTTGGGGGAGATGGTTGAGGTTTGAGGTGAGGTGGTTGTTTGGAAGGTGTTTTGGGAGGTGTTTGGAGATTTAAGGGGAGGTTGAGCTGGAGGAGAGATAGTTGTTTATGGGGTTAAGGGGTGGTTCTTTGTGGGGTCTGAGGGCAGAGGTGGCTGGGGGCTTTGGGGCGAGGTGAGTGTTTGTGGGGACGTCGTTGTTTGCAGGACTGGGGGGTGAGGCAGGTGCTTGGGGGAGGTTCTTTGTGCATTTGGGGGAGGCTCTCCGGGCCGATGAACACCTCCCCGAGAGCCGTGACAGCGCCGGCCCCCCCGGGCTCCGCGGCCGGAGCGGGGCCGCGGCCGCCGCCTCCGCCCGGGGCCGCCCCGCGGCTCTGCGCAGGCCCCGCCGGGCCGGGCCGCCATGTGGGTGTTCGGCTACGGCTCCCTCATCTGGAAGGTGGATTTCCCCTACCAGGAGAAGCTGGTGGGGCGCGTCCGCGGCTACAGCCGGCGCTTCTGGCAGGGCAGCACCGACCACCGCGGCGTGCCGGGCAAGGTGAGCCGGGGCCGGGGGGAGCGCGGCCGCGCCGGGCCCGGCTCAGGGCCCTGCCCCGGCCGGAGCCGCCGCACGGAAACCCAGGGACAGCACAGCGCTTCGGGGAGGGCTCGGAAATGCCCACATTCGTCATTCAGGGCGTTAAATACCCTCGGTGAGGGGCGGGTGTCGGGCTGTGCGCAGGGAATAGGAACAGACAGAATCACTGACCCAAGTAACGCCCGGCTGCGTTTTAACTTGTTTTACTCTCAGGTGGAAATTCATGGATTAGGAAGTACTTGAAGTTCTAAAATTCTTCACCGCTTGGAAAAGGAGAAAAAAAAAAAAAACAGCGAGAAAAAGAAACTAAAATTACCAGTGAGGATTCCCAGTGTCATGTGTTTTTAAGGATAAGGTATAACCTGCACCCAGGTGACTCCACTGTAAACCTGGAGCAGCTTTAAGAGAGAAAAAGCGTCAGGATTATTTTAAAGAACGCATCTTGCTTCGTGGAAGGTTCCATCCAGATGTAAAAAACACTCATTAGAATCTCTAACATCATAAAATAATTTGCACAGAGCTCAAAGAACACAGCTTGAGCCACCACTGACACACAGTAAAGAACAGCAATGAGGAAAAACCAGTTCTTACAAATATACAACAAATCAGATGTTAGCGGTATTTTAAAAATATTTTCAGAGGATTATTCCCAGTAGTACAAACAATAAATAATTCCTCTGATCAATAAGTATTTAGTAATTTGTTTCTTAATGTTTGTTTTGGGTAGTTCCAGGCAAGACAAGGACTCTGCAAGCAATTAAGTAAATATCCTGCCCTTCCTTAGGCAAACAGATCCTTCTTCCATCACACAACCCACCTGAACACAAAGTTCTCCTCAGTACTGCCCTTCATATTAAATCATATTAGATTTAAATTAAATTCTATGAATTTAGGCTACATTTACAGGCATTCTTAGCAAAGACAAGAAAGTTGATTTCCATCCACCACAGAATGCCTCCAAAAATCTTCGTGACCCATTGCAAGTGCACAAGTCAGAGAACTATCAATGACCACGGAAAAAACATTACAAAAGGAACACCAAAGTTATCTTTGGTGTATCATGGGAACAGACTAATTTCTCCTCAGGAAATAGGAGTCATTTAGTGTTCATGTAGCTTTATTGCCTTCTTTTATCAGTCAGATCAGGAATAAATTGCTCATGCTGGGAGAGAACTAGCTTGCTGCCAAAAGCAGCAATTTTAAACTGCAGATGCAGTTCAACATAGGGTTTTATGTTTTAAAGTTTTATACAGCAAACTTCAGCTATTTTATTTCCAGTATTTACAAACTGGCTTCTTAGTTTTTCCTACAAGAATTAACTTACTGGGGAAAACAAGCCATTTGGAAGGTATCCTCCCTTCCTCCAGTGAGGCTCCAAGGGCTCCTTGAGGACAGTTTTAAATTAATGAAACTCTTAATAATCACTGTTATTGTATTGTTAATTAATTGTCAGTGTTTTAAATTGCAGTGGAATTTAGTCTGGACAGCACATGTAAAGCAAGGACCTCCCAGTTTCAATTCAAACCCTCCCAATTTGTGCCTTTAATTTTTGTGTCACAGGCACTGTCCACCCAGAATTTAACATGTTTATTTTATCTAATGCACATCCAAAGCTACTCCCCAAAAATACTTACACTGGATCTGCACCTTATTGGAATTGTGCTGGATTAGTTCTCTGAGTGTTTCATTCCTGTTCCTTGGTTTTTTCTCATTTTGGTTTGGTTTTGCTCATGATTTAGGGCAAAAGCCTCTGACTAAATTATGATTTCGTCTTTTAAATTTTAGCCTGGAAGAGTTGTGACCCTGGTTGAAGATGCTGAGGTACAGTACTGTTGCACAGCATGTCCTGTTGCATTTCCCCTCATTAATTTTTGCTTTTCTGTGAGCAGATAACTGTCTTATCTTTAGGGAAAAGTTCTCTCAGTGTTTCCCAGAGTTACACCAATGGCTCTTGACTGATTCAAATAATCAATATAAACTAGAAGTAGTTTGGATCTATTATTACCACAGGGATATTTTAAGGTATATTCTGGAATAGTCACTTTGGCTATCCTGTTGTGAGATGTAGAATTTGACAGAAAGATCTATCAAACGTACATGATTTGATATCAACAGTGAATGATAAATGTAATTGCTTTAATTCCAGCTTCACAAGGTTTGACCAGGTTGTGAAGGTGTCTCAGCACACCACACCAGTTCAGGTGTGTAACAGGTGTAGGTGACCTTCGGGTCCCTGCCAAACTGTCACTAAACAGAAGGGACCTGGTCAAAATTCCTTCAAATACATTGTTATTTAAATTTGTCATTTTCAGACATCATTTTTATGAGGTTAGGGATAAACTCCGTGTCCTTTTTGCCAGCTCCAGGCCATTTACTATTCCAAATATTAGCAAAACAAGAAATTGCTCTGTTAGGAAATCCTGAGCCTTAGCAGAAAGAGGATGATCAATCTGCGTGATCATTCACTGATAATTGCCTGAATAAAGCAGCCCTTTCACTCTGGACTCTTACAAACACTGCCAAAAGCAGCAGAAGGGCAGAAAATCAGTTTCCTGAAAGCTTTGCCTAAATGCAGTGATTTCTGAGTACCCTTTTGACCAACCCTCCCCGCCCAGGGCTGCGTGTGGGGCGTTGCCTACCGACTCCCAGCTGGGAAGGAAGGAGAAGTGAAGGCCTACCTGGATTTCCGGGAGAAGGGCGGCTACAGGACCACCACGGTGATCTTCTACCCGAAGGACGCGTCGGTGCAGCCCTTCGACGTGCTGCTCTACATCGGCACCCGCGACAACCCCAACTACCTGGGCCCCGCGCCGCTCGAGGACATCGCGCGCCAGATCCTGGGCGCCGCCGGGCCTAGCGGCAGGAACACCGAGTACCTGTTCGAGCTGGCCAACTCCATCAGGAGCCTCGTGCCCGAGGACGTGGACGAGCACCTCTTCTCCCTAGAGACGCTGGTCAAGGAGCTCTTGAGCAAGCACCAGAATCTCAACTGCCTGTGAAGGAACCTCTGAGCAGGCTGGTTCTGGATTCAGAGGAGGGGTTTTGACCACACTGATGTGTGGCAGTGAGGAATGCTCCTCTGTATTGTGCTGTCCTAATTAGTACTGCGTATCGTAATTAATGCTGCATTCAGAGTAGGAGTTGGTTACTTAAAACTGCCAAAATAATTATTTCAGGAGTCGAGAAGGGAGAGCGACAAAAGTCTTCTGAGTTTGAATTTGGTGTCTCAGCTTTTCACCCAAAGACTACACCTCAAGACAACCACTTAAACTTCTCTTTATGTTTTATTATTATTTCAGGTTTTAAATAAATCTTTAGAATATTTTTGAGGTCAAAATCAGCATGCAGAGACAAGTTCCCTAGATTTAAGTGATAGTTTGCTCTGATCCCAGACCACAGTGCAGGAATACTTCTAAGTGGTTGGCCTAAATTGTGTAGTAGAACATTTATATCAACATTCAACTCCTCTGAAATAAAGTTATGCCACTGAATTAGTCATCTCACCCTTTATATGTTAATTTATCCTCAAATGCAGAGGATAAACCATTTTATTGTAAAGGAAATAATTCCTTCCCTTGGCTGCTGATGTCAAGCCCTGAAAACCAAAGCTCTGGGCACTCTGACTCAAACAAGCCATGACCTATCAGTGCCTCATTTTAATTTTCAATCCTAATACAAACAAGAACCCCAAAATATTAAAATTAACTAAGAGCATGACTTGAAGTCACAACACAGCAAGAAGAGACACTCTTATCTCTGTTATTTCAGCTGCTGCTGTGGCCCCCATCTCTTCGAAAATCCCAGCTGAAAGGACAGATTTTAGTTTCAGGGATTCACCAACAGAAGGTAATTAAGGAAGGAAACCTCTCTGCAGTAACCTTAGGGGTGTGCATGGGCATCCCAAGAGGGTTGGGAAGCCCCCAGTTTAGGCTGGCAGGCTTCCTGATGCAATCCGTCCCAACATGGACTTGTCCTGCTCCTCAAAACTCTATTTTTATTAACTTTTAACCGAGTATATTTTTATATCTTAATATAAAAGGTTGTGTTTCAAACACCACATAACATCCTGTTTTCCCATCCAGGGGATGTGTGTTTAGTAGCAGCCTGGAAGCCTGGATTCTGCATCAGTAATTGCAAAAAAAGTGTGTTTTTCCCCTAAAAAGGTTGACCCTTTCTGTTCTTTACATCTTCCTGGTTTATATTTGTAAAGGTAAAAGTGTGCAATGGCACTTTCTGCTTTCTTGAAAATTCTTCTTAGGTTTAAAAATTCTTTCCTCAGAGACTTATCCTGTTCCTTAAAACAGAGCAGGGGATGCTTGTGCTCAGTAAGGATCCAGAACCATCAGGGTGATTTCCCCTTTAAAATGCTAATTATTTAAGTACTGTGATTCTGTGTAGCTCCACACTCTCTATCTTTGTCTCCAAGGCTTTGTTGGTTCATTTGCTTCCTAAACGCATAAAACATTGCAATAATACACGTTCCTGTGTACGACTTCAGTGCAATAAAAACGCATTACAATGACTGGAAATTTCCAGAAATGTTATGTTTAAAGTGTGTCTGTGTGAGGGTGGACATCAAGGTGTGTGTTCATTGCCCCTCGCTGTTGGGGCTGAGTGACAACACACAGGGGCTACTATAAACTGTGGCACATTAGGAATTAATTTATGCATGGGAAATATAAATAAATAATTTGTTCTTGCTCTGTGGGATTAAAGCCACTGCTCTGCCCCCAGCTTTGGTCCCTACCAAAACCCTCCCAGATCTGTTACCTCAAAAAATTTAGACCATTTAGGCTTCATTTTTTTTTTTTTCTGACTGGTTAAATTCAATCTCTATTTATGCAAATAACGATTTTAGATCCGTAGGCTTCACTACACAACCACGCACACAAAGAACTGCTAAACCTGCTCTCAGAAAGTGTCTGGGGAAACAACAGGGACATCCATGACTATTTAGAGAAGGTAATGCCGAGAGGAGGGAGAGGGAAATCCACACTTAAGGGCTGGACTCCATCATCTCCAAGGTATTTCCCAACCAGAATAACTCCAAGGTTCTGTAACAAGGGGATTCTCTGTAGCATGGCCAATTAACTTCTCCCTCTTACATCCTTCAGTTTTTTATCTGCTCCATGTTTCCCATGGATCTGATGGGACTGGCCTAACCTGCTCTGATGTTAACCTGACTGCTGGCCCCCTTGGGTTGTTCTCAGGTGTACAGATACACACACATATACACAGGTGTATAGAGAAACACAGAGGAGCCCCTGACGCGCTCTTTTACACTCACAACCTCATATCTGTTAGTTATGTTTAACTCTTAGCGTTGCCACTGGTGACCAAAGTTAATTACTCGCATCCCACTCCCCCCCTCCTCTTACTCGCCCCCATTTTACCCCTCCCTCCCTCATTCCCTCATTCACACTCCTCCCTCACACTCATTTCCTCGCTTACACTCCTCATTCAAATTCCTCACTCCCTCACACTTCTTCTCCTCACTTCACTCACTCACCTCACTCACTTCACTCACTCACTCACTCACTCACTCACTCACTCACCTCACTCACCTCACTCACCTCACTCACCTCACTCACCCATCACCCCCACCCGGCCCCTCGGCTCGCTCCGTGCCCGCCCGGCCCCTCACCTGCGGCGGCGGGCGCTGCCCCGGATGCCGGAGCCGGGCGCTGCCCCGGTTGTTGATCGCGGCTGCCGGAAGCCGACGTGGCGGCGGCGCGGCGCGGCCTCGGCGGACGGCCGCGCTGCCCGGCCCCGGCGCTGCTCTGCGGGCTCCTAGCGGCCGTGGCCGCGGTGGCCGAGGGCGGCCGAGCGCTCCCGCAGCTCAGCGACGACATCCCGTTCAGGGTGAACTGGCCCGGCACGGAGCTCAGCCTGGTCGGTACCGCGCCGGCCGGAGCGGGGCCCGGAGCTCCCGGAGCTCCCGCCGCACAGGGGGCTCGGGTGGGGCTGCTCCGCCGGCGGAGGGAGCCCGGCGGCTGGAGAGAATCCCGGGGGATTCTGTGCCGAAAGCGGCGTGGGGTGCAGGGGGATGGCTGGGGCGGTAGGGAGGGTCTGAAATGGGGGAGCAGGCGTGAGGGGCATGGGGCGGATCGGGGACCTGGCTGGAAGCAGAAGGTCCAAAGCCCAGGCAGCAGCAGCAAGCAGCTCCCAGCCAGCTGAACCTCCAACCCCCCCGTCTTGTGGTATAATTAAATGCCAGGGAATACTCTGGAGCACCGCTCAGGAATTCAGGGGTGTTCGTAATGAGCAGTATCCCTGCCTGGCTGATCCGTGGGTTGGTTGTTTTCTCAGCCGACCACCGGTGTGTTGTACAAGGAGGACAATTATATCATCATGACCACTGTGGATAAGGAGAAGTACAAGTGTCTGCTGCCATTGATAGCCAGTGGCAACGAGGTGAGTTCAGGCGAGGTATTCTGTAAATGTAAACTGTAGCTGAGTCTTTACCAGATCAGTTTTAATATCCTGAGATTTCCTTCTGTTGCAGGAAGAAGAAAAGGACTATAAAGGTCCTACTCCAGGGGAGCTGCTGGAGCCTCTCTTTAAGCAAAGCAGCTGTTCCTACAGAGTATGTTACTTTTGTCCTGTTCATTAAATGCCAATTAAAAGGTTACAGGCCAGTGCATGTCAAGGTTTTAGGGTAGTAAATGAGATACTAATACAGTCTGAAACAAGGTCTTTACAACCTTATGCCATAATATTGCTGACAAAATTCTGTGTGATTAAAGATGTCAGAATTCAGATAAATGGGTTGCTA